TATATCTATATATCTCTATATAGATATAGATATATATTAGTGAACCAAACATAGTACAAACAACATACGTAGCTCCATATATTTACCCCAAAAATATAATCAACAAAGTCTACTGATTAAAAAAATATTGTGCAGTTTTTAAGCAGGGTTTGTTTATCCCCTTTCAATGAAAAAATAATCTGAGTATAAGTATTCATATAACACTTAAGTATACGTATACGTATAATGAAAATCTAAAGAAATTACATCTATGTAAAAAAATATTTCTTTAGTTTTAAAAAGGAGAAGTATGGGGGTACACTTTTTTTTGCATTTTTAGTTTCCTTATAATACAGGAATACATTTTGCAATGTATTCCTGTAATCAAAAATGCACCATGAGCTTACAAATCAATATAATATACTGTGGGTGCGGGGCTAAGCTCTGTGCTGAAAAGCGATCCCGACAATATTGTCTGGATCCTCCTCTCCCATTGAGTGACAGCAGCTTGAAGCTGCTGTGCGATCATGAGAACCTGAGCAGACGCAGCAGCTAAGGTTAACACTTGTACATTTATCTTACAGTTTGTCTTTCGTTCCCCTCTCTCCTCCACACTGCTCTCTCCAGACAATACACAAACCACATCGGCACTAAGGCTGGGTTCACACCTGGGCGTACGGAATATGCGCGCGTTTCGTGCCACGATTTGCAGTAAAAGAAACGTGCGACAAACGCGCGTTTCCGAAGGCTATCTGGCTGTATCTTAAATGGATACGTGCGGCAAATACGCCCCAAAGAGGCTCCTGTACTTCTTTGGGCGTTTTACATCGCGTTCCTGCGTGTTGTAAAACGCCCAGGTGGGAAACCATGCCCATAGGCAATTATTGGTTTTCACATGTTGAGCGTTTTACAGCGTGTAGGAACGCGCTGTAAAACGCCCAGGTGTGAACCAGGTCTAAGACCGTCAGTTTAGCTTTCTTCATCTCTTCTTCTTCCAGTTTATGTCCCAAGACAGCAGAGAGGAGGGCTCAGTGAACTGAATGTCTTAGTGCCAATTTGGTCTGCTATGGTCTGTAGTGTTTACAGATAGAAGAATGGTCCCAAATCTGACCATAAATGGCCGAAACATCTTTTTGATTTATGCTGTCAAACACTACTGCATGTGATCTATGGTGTTTAGAGCATGGCCGATTGAGGTTTTTTTTGTTTCCAACACTTAAATACATTTTGTCTATTAGATTACTACGTCGATATCTTTAGGTTTCTTTAAGAAAAGAGAAAACGGTACATGTAAATCATCATATGCATACCATACACCCACCTGAAAAGTGTATTCTGTGTTTTTGTCTGCTCTCCTCCGTTGCACATGTTTAAAACTGATGTTCTCAATATGTACTGCTGTAATTTAAAAAAAAAAAAAAAGAAAATTAAAAAGGAAAGATTTAGTGCATTCTACATACCTTTAGTGGATATCTCTAAAGTGCAGCACTATGTAAATATTATATCTAAAGTACAAAGTGCTGACACTATTAAATAACAGAGTGTAAATAAAAACAAAACACTGAGTGCTAATATAGCATGATCGACATATATATATACCCGTGTGTGTATTTATATATCTGCTGTAACAACTTTGACCTTACAAAATGTCTAAAGTTAGATAGATAAGATAGATAGATATAATGGTCACTCAATCTGTGACAATGTATTTGTTAGAAAAGTGTACACCACACAATCACACTTGTGGGGTGCCAGAACACAAGCTGGGAGTCGGAAAGGGACTCCAGAACCATAACTGAAACGAGATAGCTAGCGCTCTGGGGATAGCGCACATTTTAATGTGAGTTTTTGTAGTTTTTTTATTTTAATAAATAATGCAAATGGAAAGCACGATGGCGGGCTGTTTCCACATGACCATTACAAAACTTGTCCAGTTCACTGATTAACAACTGCATTCTTACTAGGGGGTTACATCTGAAGATAACCCCTTAAACACACACACACACACACACACACACACACACACACACACACACACACACACACTAACAGAAACGCCATTCACAGCATCTGCTGTAACAATTTTGACCTTAAGAAATGTCTGACATAACACTCACTGCCACACTAGACAGGAAAGTAAATATGACACTGGCTCGTGCCCTGCAAAAGAGCTGTAAATTAAAATGTATTATTTTGTTAAATGTGATTGCCTAGCATAGACAAGATATTTAAACATGACCATTTTTGTTGTGGACTTGCAGATTTTGAAGAAACAAGGGTAACACCGTGTTCAAATAATTATAGCAGTAGTTTAATATACAGTATATAGCAGTAGATCTAGTTAATTATAGCAGTAGCTTAATATACAGTATATATACTTAATTATAGCAGTAGCTTAATATACAGTATAGCAGTAGATTGATAAACATACCTTCCTGTTGAAGGCTATGAGATGAAGTAATGACTCCATTGTAAGTACCCACACTGCCATCCACAACACGTTTCTCATGATTTGGCAAGTACTCCTGTATATTTCCCTAAAAAAAGAAGAAAGAAAAAAAAAATACATTACATATTCCACCTACATTTTTGCTGTGTGAAGAAAACCCTGAAAATATATACCTAAAATAAATCTATCATATTAAATTGTAGTATTAAACTGTCAACCTTTTTTCAATAATGAATCCAGATGAAACAAATATACATTGCCCAGCAAAGTGTTTCTCTAAAATGTTTACAGTCATCATATTGCCAAACAAAAGTCTCGAAACTCTCTCAGCTCTGCTTCCCTAAACATTCTGTCCAGTACAAGATCACAAGGGACAGAGCAGTCTCCAGCATCTGTCCCTCTACTACAGGGGTCCTCAAACTTTTTAAACATGGGGCCAGTTCACTGTCCCTCAGACATTGCTGGGGGCCGGATCATAGTCCCAGAACAAAGGAGGAACGTTATTGAGCAATTGCTGTGCGTTCCAGCAGCTGCTGCTCTGGTGTGAATAAGCCCTTATTTAGAGGGTATATATGAATATTTTTAACAACTTCTTTAATAAACAAAACATTTTTTTAATACAATTCATTGCTCTTAGCCTGGAACATGTACTAGCATGATTTGTTATTATTTTCTACAGCTCAAGTATTTGTTATTTATTACAATGAATGGGCATGTAGACTGCCCGGTCTTACCTCTCTACAGCGGCGTGCAGCTTTGGGAGAGGCAGGGAGATGACATCACTTCATATCCCAGTTCTCTTCTTATTGGCCGCCCTACAAGAGCCTGTGCTGGCGTGCACCCAAAGTTGGAGGGGCGCAGCCGCACTGGTGTTACACTGCTAAAGGAACCAAGGCATTTGGTTTGCCTCGGCATGCGCCCTGAGATGAGAGGGCGCAGCCACGCAGGCCGAACACAGAAGCTGCCAAGCTTTCGGAACAGCCTGTGTGTCTTCCCTGACACCCAGGCGGGGCCGGCGGAATGGCGATCTCTCCCTGGACCCCGCCGGGTGTCGGGCGGCTGATTGATTGCTATATGTAGTTTAGGGCGGCTGGGCCTATTTTAACTACTTGAAGACCAGGTGTTTAGACCCCCTTCCCATCCAGGCCATTTTTCAGTATTCAGCGCTGCGGTACTTTGCTTGACATTTATTCCGTCATGCAATGCTGTACTGAAATTAATTTTATACCATTTTTTGGGGACACATAGAGCTTTCTTTTGTTGTGTAATCACCACTGGCGTTTTTATTTTTTACTATATTTCGGGAAAATTACAGAACATTTTCAAAAAAAACGTTTTTTTTTACATTATGTTAGGAAACATTTATTATCACCTAATTTTTTGGTAAAACATAAAAGACGGGGTCACGTCGGGTAAATAGACACCAAACATGCCAAGCTTAAAAATTGCGCGCACTCGCAAAGAAACACCATACCCAAAATTGACCATAGGCGACGCTTTAAAAACCTTTGCAGCTCATCAGTTTAGTGTTATGAGTGATTGATGGTCCTAGAATTATTGCTCACACTGCGACGTTCGCGGCGATATGTAACATGTGCGGCGTAATGGGCGCAATCGTCGTTTTCGCAGGTATGTGCACCCGACGCATGTTTACATGCGTGTATGTATGGGTGGGGACTTTTTTTTATTCTTTTTTTATGTGTAACTTTAAAAAAAAATTAATCTTTAATTTTGTTTCCTATTTTTTCCCCCACTTAACCTTATTGCTATTATATAGGGGGCTAAGAAACCCCCCTATGTGACAGCAAAAGATGTGACAGGTCCTCTTTATGGAGACATCAGGGGTCTCCAAGACCCCTGTCACCTTGGACCCCAGAAGAAGCTGATGAAGCACAGATCTGCTCCATCAGCTTCTCTCCAGCGTCTGAAGCTGGAGAGTGACACAAGAATGCGGAAGTGATGTAATATACATCACTTTCGCATTCTTACAGCGGAGAGGGGACCGGAGGGAGGTCTTGTACCGACTCCCTCTGATCCCCTGTGACAGAGGCACTATGCTGGTCCCGGGCTCAGCGGAGCCTGGGATCAGCGTCACAACAGGAGGGGGGACACGGGCCGACCGCCCATACAAGCGATCCGCCGGCTCTATAGCCGGCGGATCGCTTGTAGGTTAACAGGCATCGCTGCAGCTTCAGCGTGGCTTATTTAGAGAGCTGCCGGCCGTTTTTTTACAACGGCCGGCCTGGAGGTAGTAAAGGTAGGGGTCTGCAGCTCCCCGGCCTTGACACACAAATGGGCTGGGCCAAGGACCCTGGCGGGCCGTATTTTGAGGACCCCTGACCCTCCCCACTCTGCTATAAAAATGTGTTGTGCTTCTATCCCCATTAGAAGAAATATTACATCACTTCCTGTATGTGTCACAGCCTGTCACCAGGAGAAGGAGTGAAGTGTTCCCAACAGGGACACAGACAGCAGTAAAAACCTGACAGATATATGTAAAACAAATAAAAAATACTGCAGTTGCATTTTAAATTCTGTGGACAGTATGTTATATTAATCTGCCTGTAACTGCAGAGCTAGACTTACTGACATGGCATGCTGGTGTTTGTAGTCCCACAGCAGCACCCAAGCTACAGATTGCCTAGCAATGCGCAGTATCACAAACACAAGCATGTCAACCAGCAACGTGGACCCATGACTCCAATACCAGCACAATACACAAGGAACAACAGCTGGGACTGGTGCCAGGGACAGACAGAGAGGTACTCACTGTTGGGGGCCACAAGGACTGTCATGCAGAATCACTGCTGTAGCCATGGAATTCAGGTGCTTCCGGGTCCTTTCCAGTCATGTGACTCGGCTACCAAAACAGTCAACGAGCGCCACCTGGTGGCCACCAAGAATACTGCACGCAGATCATGTTCTGCGTGCACGCAAGTGGGCGTGGCTTATCTAGAGAGCTTTCAGCAACGGCCGGCCGGTAGTAAAAGTAGGGGCCTGCAGCTCCCCGGCCTTGACACACGAACGGGCCGGGCCAAGGACCCTGACGGGCCGGATGTGGCCCGCGGGCCGTAGTTTGAGGACCCCTGCTCTACTAGCTTGGAGAATGGAGGAGGGAGCAGCAGAGAGCAGGAGAGTGACTTGACTTAATGTGTCTGTGTGTCTGAGTACACATGCACTCAGGTCTTGTTCACACCAAGTGCAGAGCAGATGCAGAGCAGTTATAGACCGCATCAAAAATACATCCAATGTATTCCAATGGTATTTTGGACTCTAGTTCACTCCACAGTGTTCAGTTCCAGAGCATGTGGAAAAACTGCAGCATGCCCTATTTTTTCTGCTCTGGAACGGTCCGTAACGCAGCAAAAACACGGCAAAATGTACTGCACTGCATATGCAGAAACTCATGCAGATGTGGTCCGGATTTGGAGTGAACAAGCCCTAAAGGTGGGGTGATTAGGCTCCTGGGACCACATTTTGCACTTTTCCCTGGAGTTCTGCTATGGTTGCAGATGGTTGTGTTACCATTCCTTGAGACTGACTAACAAGATTGTTTTTATTTCCCTTCCACAGAGTGGAAAAATATGAAATAATGTATGATCCAAAATCAACAGTGTGTTCCTGCAATTTCTTAGCTCCGTTATGTCACAGGAGGATTCCCTGTTCCTAGAGACAGCTGGAATGCAGCAGGATTCTGGCACAGGCCAGCTAGACAAGTCAGATGCAGATGTTACAGCAGATTTCCTGCACATCCACTCTGATAGCCCAAGTAGAACTTCAGCCTCCTATACTAAAGGTTTTTACAAAACAGACCATAGAAGGTTAAAAAAATGCATTAATGCACTTGCTGAAATCATGAAAAAGATAACCCTTAACTTCCATACAACACTTTGGTGGACTTATCTTCCAGGCCTTCTCCTTTATTAGTACTGTCAAATATATGAACAAAAAGAGAATTAAACAAAAGTTCTGCATTAAAAAAAGAACTATAGGGTAAGTGTTTTTCCTCCATAGTTCGCTTAGGATCACGGGAGGACATATACTAACCTCCTGTGACCCAAAGCTCAGTATATTGCAGACTATTGACCGCAATATACTGAGATCGCCGCAGCTAGGTCGGATCCCGACAATACTGACGAGATCCACCCAGCTGCATGAGTGACAGCTGGCTCTGACTATCTACAGGCAGAGCCAGCTGTACCCGCCCCCTCCCGTTTGTTCCTCCAGTCAGCGCTGGAGGATCGGAAAAGGGAGGGGGGAATCCCTGTGGGGAGCGGTGATTGACAGTCACCGCTCACTGCAGGGAGATAAGGAAGTGGGCAGATCGGCAGAATGTTTCTGCTCACTTCCCGATCAATAGAGTTGACCTGTGACAGCTTCTTTGTCACAGGTCGGCTATAACCATGAGGATGAGTGGAAATCTCTCATCTCATAGTTCTCCTTTAACAGACCTTATCTTGGTTCAAATAGGCTTGATTCACAAAGCTGTAACCCAAGAATAAGCACCTTTTTATTTTTAGCCACGTGACTGTAATTTTTAAACCTCATCGAATGTAACTGAAAATATCAAACACCTTGTTAAAGCAGAAGTATTCTTATTCTGGTGTTAGCTTTGTAAGTTGAGTATATTAGGCACCATTTATAAAGTTTTAACACAAGCATAACGCTCTTTAATAGAACCATGTGACTGCAGTTTTAAAAACTCATTGGACTTGGCTTAAAATAATGATAATTTTTTTAAACAGAAATATACAATACCCTGATATACAAGTTGATCCTAATGTAGTTGTGGGAGGTGGAGGGGAGCTATACGCCCCTTTCAGAAAACTGCAGGCAGGGTAATCAAAGTGCACATGTACCAGCCAATTTGGTTGATTGGCCTGTGGCCCTATGTGGCTTAGAACGTGCTCTGAAGCTTGGTTTATTGTTGAAAAATGAAAAAAAAAAAAAAAATAGCCAATGAAAGGGCTCTTCAAAATAGTATTCTGTTTAAAAGAAGTATGGCCAATCAAAAGATCTCAAAATACCTCAGAGCAAAGAGCTGCTGAAGCTTATGGGATTACGGATTTTCAATGACTCACTCCTTAG